TGAAGAGTGGTCATATAACAACTGCTTACAAGTCCATTATAGGCTTGCATAAGCACCACTGCTCAATCGAACGGGAGGAGCACAGCAGAGACAAAAAGTTGAAAGAGCTGGTGTCGAGGGCCGAAAATGGCGATTACGCGGGCACCGTTTTCATCGACGACAAAATTCCTCACATGGAGCGGAGCTACAATCTCCAAACTTCGAGGATACTCGCATGAGGTCTGAATATTTTCCAGAAGCAGCAACCAATCCCTATCGCGGTCTAGGCAGAGGTCTCAAGTACCGGTCACTTACCACCACTGCCTTTTTGAAAAAGGAATACAACTCGATACTAGACTTAACTAAAGAACATCTCGACGCATCGTCTGTTCCAATGATATTCTTTCCAATGGGACCCAGCTCCTGCATAGGAGGGAGAAATTGTTCAGGAGCGGTTTTAGGCTACTCCTTCCAATTTCACATCCTCAAACGAATGGCTCTCTTATTCCTTGATTACAACGTGCTGAACCATCCCATGTGGGCTGTATTAGGGGACAGAGCCGCTCTAAACATGGCATCAATATGAATGAGCCTTACTGCAAAGTTTCGAAGAGGAAACCCCAGAATGCCATGCGGGCCACAGTAGTGTTGCGTTCGAAGCAATGGGAGCCATACTCACAACAACAGGGGGTCATATCCAATGAACATCATTTCAATATGTAAATGTATGGCTAAAAATTGTGTATAAGCTCTTGAAGATACATACGTTTTGAGAGAAGTTACACTTGAAGAAAAGTGGTGCAATATTTATGGGACCCCTGTATAAATGGAATCACTTTTTCACTGTTTCCGAATGAAGTATTGCATTTAGGTGGTCCCTTTCTATGGTGCGCCACGCACTTTACTCCCAATCAAAATCGTGCTAGCATCTCACAACAGTGCTGTACAAAGCTGGACGCTAATTCTTCGCTTTGCACTCAATGTCTTGCCTATCGGTGCTACCCTTTTCTACTTTATCATCGCGCTGCGCGCGCTAACACGCGCGTCATACAGGACTCCGGCAGTTTAGAACGGGACTGCTTGATCCTCTCTGGTTGCGTATGCTAAGTCCACGAGCCCACGACACCCCTGTAAGCGTATTCTCTTTAAACGTTTACAATTTTTTTAGCGCGGTGCATACCCTCTTTAGGAGCGCCTTCCTTTGGTTTTTCCTCTGGTTTTGCTTCTCCCTCTTTCTTCTCTTGTTTCACCTCCTCTATTTTACTGGCCATTGTCTTGTCCGTTTTGATTGCTTCTTTATCCTTGCTCTCCTGTTAAAAGTATTCAGCGATCCGTCCGGAGGAATATGAAATGCTCTGATGTGCATACTAGAAATACCGTTATACCTCTTCCTTCTTCACTTCGGGCTTTTTCTCCTCTTTGACCTCCTTTGAATCTCCTTTACTTTCGCTGCTCTTCGATACGTCCTGAAATAAGTATTCCTGATCGAGATCTCTCAGAAAAGTGCGCGTCAGTAGTATGGCAACAAATGTAATTATGACACAGAAAGTGCAATTTGAATTGAAACAAAGTGCAAGCATTTACTAAACATTGTAGCAAAATAATAGCTGCAAGCTTTACAGCTTTCTTTACATATCCTCTTTATATAAAGCAGAAGTCTGGCCGACGTTCTGTCTGACTTTGCTTCTATAAAAACAGTAGTTCACACTAAAAGACAACAGGAAACAGTTAGGGGGTGGAGGCTAGAAAGTGTATGGCAGTGGGCGGAGGCCGGTCGGTTGGGCGGGGCTTACGCTGTAATCTCCGTAGCAAATACAGGGTATAAGGCTCGATTGCTAAGCGAATCACTATATTGACTGGGTAGTATCGTAGGAGCTGGATTTCGGATGGGTCACAGGTTCCAAACAGACACTCAGAACGATCAGCTACCAGACGATCACCACTCAACAACTCACATTTCCGTTAATTTTCCAAAAATAGCGATAGACCGGGGGGGGGTTTAATATTGTGCGTGTGCAGCTAAACTGTAGCTATATCGGACACAATTATAACTCCTGGAAGCTTCTTGGTTTGGTGTGGGCGGTAGCAACGTTTGTTGGGGACTTTTGACCTAGACGTTATTCACTGAATTCTTCAGTTGTAAGCGTAGCTGCCTTTGACGACAGCAAAAACTTCATTTTTTCAAAGAGGCTTAACATGTAAAGATTTGGGGAGGTAAAAGTGTACCCGGAAAGCAGGCGTAGGCGATGAGGAGGAGGCGACGAATGTATATTTTGCAGGAAGATCTGCGCCTAGCGGCTAGCGACGGCCGTACCAGCGAGGCTCGCTGACGATACAAGCCCCACTGATCGCTACCATCTTGCCGTTGGACTCAATTCGCAGACATTAGCCGCTTATCGAAGAGGTAGAGCAGGCTGATCACATAGATGACGTCGACACCGATGAGACTCGTCCAACGGTAATGCGCAAAAAAGCTTCCATTTTTAGTCTAGCCCATTTTTTTGGTTCTTCATTCCTGCACTGAGCGCTGCCTTGATTTGTAATTGGTTTGCTTTTTTTTTACCGTGAACTCCACCTTTAACCACAATCCTTCTTCTTTGGGTTGGGCAAGTCTGCATAAGACTCAATGAAGCCCAGGAATATGGGGATATATTCGGGAACGTTGGGGAGACAGAAGCAATCTGGACCTCATTATCGATTTAACGGATTCAGCGGGCAATCATACGGTGTTTTGGACGTTGTAGACGTTGACATCTTTTTTAAGTTAAAGACTAATCAGTTCTCAAAAATGGGGCATATCACATGCCACTGTCAGACCGTACCCCAAGATTCCACGTACTGTAATTGGTGCAGGAGACAACCAAATCTAGTGATCAGCCAGCTGTTCTGCTACTGCAATGCAGGGTAATACTTGCAGGGTTTTATCCTGCCATTTTGAAGTGTAGTTTCTGTGTCATTGAATTCTTTGCCTCTTTGTTACCATATGTATGACGCGCACTGTATTTATTACATTTCTGGCTTTTCTGAGACCATTTGTTCCTCACAGAAAATATCCTGCTACAGATCTTTAGGATGAAAAGCTGAAATCTCCCAACGCAAGGTCCTTGCGATTGAGCTGATTTTGTTCTTCAATCCGAAGATCTGTAGCAGTATTTTGAGATTTCAACTCACTTTGGAGGCCGTCTTATCTTGTACATTCTCCGCCGATTTATTTCCTGCAGTTTTGGTCGCCTGAAGCGCAAGCACTATATTTTCGTCCTTATCGTCTTGCAACAGTAAAGGGGAAATTCTTTGAAGGGGATTGAGTCATGGTGAAATGTGCTCTTTTAGGTGCGCATGACACTTACAGTTTCATGGAAGTTTCACTTCTGACAGCCTCAAGGTCTAAGCGGGCAAGAAATCTGCAAGGAGGACAGGAGGGACTTTCTAGTAGTTTTTTCTACTGATGGAACCTTTTCAGCACCCAGGTTTCGTATCGTGTTACCCATAGTCATTCCGTAGATCCTCATGTCATGGAATACATCTTGAATTTCACTACTGTATTATGGTGGCGCATTCAGTCGCGAAATCGGTAATAACGGAAATATTGAGCTGATCCGTTCTGAGAGTAGGGAGCTGTAACAAAGATGTAAGGTGTTTCATTCTCAAAGCTAGTTGCAGCTGTTCTCGCGACAACGGTCTGCGTTGCTTTGAGTCTGCGTCTCGCTACCCCTTCATGATCTCTCGCCTGTTTTCTCACCGTGGCTCTGGTGGTTCTCCGTTGTAAGCTTGCCTACTACCCGCAATAGGAGGCGGTGCTAACTTAGTTGGGGGGGGGGCCACGCGGCGGCGCGGCAGTCTGCTCACCTGGGCTCTCTCGAGCGAGACAGTGTAAACTCGAACATTCCAGCTTTTCACGCATGTCAAGTGACTGCCCCACCCCCACCCCCTAGACTGCCTACACTCCCCCTGGCCCACGGATTTCCGAACATGCCAGGCGAGCAGACTGCCGCGCCGCCGCGTGGTCCCCCCCAACTAAGTTAGCACCCGAAGCTCTTAATTTGGTGCT